AATCAGAGTTGGATATATTAATTTGATTTTTCGATCACACAGCGAGGAATAAGTTCCAAACATAGTAATTTTATTGTTTATAAATTCTATTGTATCTTTTACCGATTTCACAGAGAGTAAGTTGGAAAAAATATCATTAGTTGGAGCAGAAGATCTTTCATGTACCTTCCTTCATAATTTGCCCTCCAATCATTATATTGGAATAGAATTATTTTCAATTTGAAGACTATTTTGAGAGTAAGAATTTTTTCGTTTAATTCAAAAAAAGAATGTTTTTAGCCTAAACAAGGTGGTACGCCAGGCCATACACCGGTGTTTCGCGAGGTTCGGCCTCCTCGTCAGTGACCTCCACCCCAACATTAAGCCCTGGCATTGTAGCAAGGAGGGAGGGTATTCTGTGGTGATGGCATAGTTGTACAATGGACACGGGTCCCATGTCACCCATTTTTGGGCTCTACCCGCCGAAAACCCATCTAACTGATGGTGAGGACCAGGTGTCATTGTTTACACTATGCCAATCACCACATACGCCTCCCTCCTTGCTACAATGCAGGGCTTAATGTGGGGCGGAGGTCACTGACGAGGAGGCCGAACCTCCGAAACACCGGTGTATGGCCCTGGCGTACCAACCTCGTTTAGGCTAAAAACATTCTTTTTTGGAATATTTGAATGTTTACTACGAGGTTTTAGAACAGTCGATTTAATGGATTCTTTTCGTTTAACTGCTTCTGTGTGGCGATTTGTTGATCAATTAACCCACAGATGCTAAATACTGTGCAAAGGTTTTGCGTCAGGATTTAGAAATTTTACAGCGCTGTATAACTGGCAATACTTTTGACGTATGAAGCTTTGAATCCATTAATGATTTTTGCAACATCTGCAGCTTCTCTGATTCCGCATTAACAATCACACAATTCGAATCTTTGAAACTCTGATAGTATCCTGGGTGTGTAACGCTATCCTCAGGTGCTGCGCCAAATCAATTCATCTGCAAGGACAGCTTTTTGTTCCAAGAATAATGCTCTCCGACCTCTGACTGATAATAGCACGCAGGTCGCTTTTCAGTATTTTTGCATTAAATCTCACCTGCTAGTATATGCCACCGCTAATGCAATATGGATAATGGAATATCACTGCTTACTTTCAGAAATGAAATTTTATTAATCCCTTCGTTTGCTGCGACGTCCTCATTTACAGCTATCCGATTTATTGATACTGTACAGCTTTCGAAAACTATCATTCAATGCACTTCAGCTTATATCACGTGATTGGCATCGACACTGTACTGTTATTGTGCAAATTCTCGCTCTATAACTTCGTACTTTGGTGTTTGTTGGAAAATCGGGAAAAGCACTTGGACGTTCTTATGGATTAAATTCGAAATGTTGCTCATTGATCACCGAGTACACGTGTAACTTTTTCTTGTGGTGATTTAGCCAGAGAAGGCAGACTTCGACATGGGCGACATGCACGCCATATTTAATGAACACGAAGGGAAACTCAAATATATATTTTGTGTATGATTATGAGTGCACAGACTGTTAAATCAACGAAAAGTTGCTGCTCTTTTATGAAATTTCTATTCAAAAGATTGGCTGAGTTCGCTCCAATGTAAGCCACTTTTGCGAACTTCCAAGACTTCCTTAATCTACTGGATTCTGAAAATTCTTGAAAGAGTTACCAAAGCTTGACTTACAACCTTTGAAGAAATTGATGAGTTATTTTAAATAAGTCTGCAAATTGCAATTCAGAAGGTTTCGACGGCCATCGACCTTTCGAAGCCTGGAGTGCTTCTTATTAACCCATTCTTGACTGCGTGTATTCTTGTATCAATAGATAGCTTAAGTCTCAGCAGTTTCGGCAGTTGGTAGAATAGAAAAATTTCGTAGTGCGTCGCAGTACCCAGAAAGGTTTATGCTTTATTTTTGAGCGCATTTTCTGCTCATCTAGAGCCTGTGGATTTAGGTGATCTTTTTCAACTATGCTTTGTCTTCAAAAGAACAGTTATAGATATATCAAAAGAGCAAAGTTTCTTTTACATTTCTGATACAAAAAGCCTCAAGATTTTTCTGAACCAAAGTGAAAATTCTTATTAAATAAAGATAGTCGCACTTGAGAAGTTTACGTAACTTATTCGGACTCGGAGCAGTTGATCTGTTACTTAAACTTAATATATGCTTATTTATATTATAAAAATGGCATGGAGAGCTAACGCTCATAGAAGAATAGAAATACGATAGAAAAAAGTCTTTTTTACATTCCTCGAGATTTCTTCGGGAAAAACGAAAATTTCTTCATTAAATCAAGATAGTCTCACTGAGCAACGATTTCAGTTGTCGCTTCGGAACGACATGATTTTCTTTAATTATTTGCAAACTTTTTTTCTTGGAAAAATTTTCATTTTAGCTCTTTCAATATTTCACGATTCTCTCTGCAAACTCAAGTGATTTTGGTTCTTATGTTACTCCTGCATCGCATGCGGCGCAAAAATTAGAGGTGCTCTGCGTCTCCACAAGAGGTCGATGGATCGATCTCGCTCTAATGACTCATCAAGTCACCGCATCCCTCTGGAGTCGTAAAAATGGCACCAGACTGGTCTAAGACTTGTCTCGGAAATTAAACAACACTGACTCGGTACAGCTGATGGCCACGGCGAGTCATTGTGAAGGACAAATAGGCACTCATTCACCTCAAACAAAGTCAAAAATTGAAGACGACTTCATGGCGCATTCCGAAGGGACAATCAACGCCAAAAAATTTATTCTTTTAGCTTTATATAACTTCTGTTCGCAAAAAGATCCTCGAGGGTAGAAGTATTCCTCATTACGTTTTATGAAAACCTTTCCACCAATCATTTTCACCATTATCGAAAATCACGCTATCCATAACTCATAGTCTACGGAACTATCCACAGAACTTAACTGAGCAAAAATGAGAGCGAGGGTAAAAAATATTCCTTTCTGAGCCACTGTAGTAAATGAAGCAGATCCTTCCAGAAACTGTGTACGCTCTTGATGTCATCGAGATTCAAGCTGCCAGTCATTACAACTAGAAAAAGTCATTTCTGTGACAAGCCTTTATAAATCCTCTGTTCAAAAATAGTCACGCCACTATGAACGGGTTAACAGGGTTTCTATTTAGCAATCAGTGTTAACGAAATCCGCAATTTGTATGTCATCTACTTTGTGTAAGGTCGTCAGTCTGATGTAATATCTAACATTAAATCATATCTGATTACGAGATATCCGCTGTTGTGATTTAACTTGTAAATTAATACGCTTCAAGAGGCTGGTAGACTGTTTTGTGATTGTTGTGAAACGAACCCGATCAATGTTATTACATACCACCAGGAGTAGCAATGACTTTGGCACTACGCTAACATCATTTGACGCACTATCGCTTTGATTGTGGTAAGTTTGAAATTTGACTGCACAGAAAATTTCAAATTGCGATCAATCGACGTATCATTCAGCTCATCACATGATGCCATTTTCTCGAAAAACAATGTGAGCTTGAATGTATGATACGTGAACTCTTATTTCTCACTGGCTAAGATGTAATTGAAAGTAATTAAGGTTAATGTCAGAACTAAAGCCGCGATGCGATTATTCGTGAACTGACCAATACTAGAAACTTTTGATGTTGTGTTATTGATTGATACATAAGCGACTTATAATATTTTTGTCTCTTATTCACAACAGACATGAGGATATCCCTGATGCCTCGCTAAAATTCCAAATGATATGAATAAGACTTCTTCTATATTTCTATTTCCAATCGCTACTGTAGATCAAAGTTGCAACGACGAGTCTGAAAAAAATTAGATTTGAAAAAATAACATTGCTGATGTCGCTCTCATAGTACTATGTAATAACACATAATGGCAAAAAGATAAAAAAAGCACACGTGAAGGTTTTTTTTTAGCATATTGCGTAATTAATATTTGAGCCAACAAGTCATGTGGTCTGTTAAATGGGCTGACTTATAGAGCCCGATACACGTGTTTCGACCTTAACAATCTCATCAGTAGGGCCATACCCTTCTCGTCTTTAGGCAATCCTCTCGTGGTGCTCAGTCCTCTATACCAAGAGTAAGCGACGGTAAACATTTTACACTGTCTATCAAGGAAAATATCACTGAATTTTTAGCATATATGGAAGTGAGGAAATGAAGGAGAAACGAGAAAAGTTTGGAAAGAAAAATGACTAACTCATAAGGATTTGAACAACCTCATTAATTTTAGCGAGAGCCTACACAGATCACGGCCACTCCAAATGGTTCGATTGTCGCTTTTGATTTGCTATCAAAGTGCAGATAGTTCAACGGTTTTCATCACTTATGGCATTTCTCAGTTTATATGAGTCTACGATTGTCATTGCAACACAATCTTCTACGTTAGCTGCACGATCTTAAAAATATTAATGATGATAAATGGAAAGTACGTAAGTGACATGAGTGTTTCAATCATACCGCTGGTGCGTGCTACCACTACACCACCGATAAGGGCCACTACACCCTCTCTTCCACTACATTAATGGGAAATATTAGAATAAAGCAAAGAGGAAAACTCGCTCCCTTATTGAAGTTGAAACTTTGTAAAAATAGTATTCTTAGCAAACGCTAACCTGACTTCTGTCGCATTCTGGGGTGTTATAGATTACAAATCTTACTATGGCTTGACTGGCAATGAATCTTCTTCAGAACAGTTTCCTCTTATTTAAGAATTTTTTCACATGTGCAGAGCTTGGTCCTTCACTTTTTCTTCAAAAAGTGGTATTGCGAACAAATCTGCTCAATACAATCATGGTCAAAAAATATCCTCAATGTCTAAACACACGTTTTCACAATTCGCCTTTAGAGCTGAAACTGAAATACTTTGGTCTAAGTGAAAAAGTTTGTGGAAAATTAATACTCCAAATTTCTGCTATTTTTACTGCATTTTTCGCAGTGTTGTGATGTCACACATGTACCTACGAGATTCGAGTGGTGAGCAAAAATACGACCTCAAATGGGAGTTGAACTCGCGCTTCATCCTTGGCGAGAGCGTGTGCTGCCATTACACCATCGAGGTATATTCGCATCACCACTCATTCTTCAACATCTCTATGTTAGCTGTCAGCTACCAACCTTTAACGGATTTGGTCGGGTATGCGATTTTGCTTTATAAACCCAGTTAGGCTGACAGCCACGGTGATAGGTAATACTCCAAAATTCTAGTGTTTTTACTGCATTTTTCGCAGTGTTATGATGTTCCACATAAACCTAAGAGACTTGAGTGGAGAGCTGTCAGCTAACATAGAGATGTTGAAGAATGAGTGGTGGTGCGAACGTACCTCGGTGCTGTAGTGGTAGCACGCATCTTCGGTATGGATGAAACGCAGGTTCGACTCCCGTCTGAGGTCTCATTTTTGCTCAAAACTCAATTCGCCTAGGTATTTGTATTGAGTTTTATGAGAAATACAATATCATAAATGCAAGCTATGGCAATGACCGGCACATTGCCGATGAGTTGTTATTTTTCTATAATAGCTAGTCTGTTTTGATAAATCTTAATATGATCTATTTTGATAGATATGAATTTTGACACTTTTGGCGTGCTGTGGCAGAGTAGTTGTAATGCTCGTCGCGGCACACTCGGGTTAAACCCCGTACCAAATCATTCTCTGCCAATTAACAACGAACTCTCTACGAAACGCTATGGGCAGGCTAACCCTTTCTATCACAGAAGAGCTGAGAACGTGTCACAATTATTTAACATGAGTTCACAACATCTTAGAATTGACGTGAGTTAGCAAAATCTTTGAACTCGAAAACAAACTGATTTTTCAGTGGAACACGCAACTAAATGAATGGCATAGCACAAGGTTTGAATATGCTTAACAACAATGAATGTATCATATTAGTAAGGAAATAAATATGAATCTAAATGCACTCAGTACATGAGTTGATATATAGAAAATCGCAGAGTGTTAAAGCAACACAGAACATCTAAGAATTTCATCAAATTGGAGCAGAACAATTCTAATCAAAAGATCAAAATCGCGCGCGGCTATTGATCAATAGACGTACCTAGAGGGTTGACTAATTTATCGAAGCTCATAAAATTTCGAAGGCAAAGAATGTGTAACTGAGTAGACTATAACCAAATTGTTATACCATCTTGGTCTTCTACCGTAATCGGGGACTGATATCTAAACTGATTAAGCCGTCATGACTGCACTGCATTCTACTGGAAAAAAAGAAGGGTTTGTCATTATTCATATCTTTTCAAAATCGAATTTATATGAAGAAGCTTTATATCAAAAACTGAACATTGACGCACATCAGTTAATCTGTCAACTTCCTGAGCTACTATAACGTTAGTAGTAAGCAAAGTATCAAGTAAAGTAAACCTCGCACCTGATATGGAATTTGGCATGGCTTTTAGCAAAATATTTCTGCTTGATAATGCGTGGTTAAATCTGCGCTTTTGCTTTATCAAGCCTTTTATCCTTTCCGGATCGTTTATTAGTACCAGACTTGTCTAAGAGAATGGCAACATTCGCTCGATTTATCGCTAGGCCGCCCGAGTCATTCTAAAGAGCAATTATGCGCTCAATTACCTTGAATGAAGTTGAAAAATTGAAGACGCATCACTTCCCTCAAAGAACTGATCAACGCCAGGAGCTCTATCCTTTTTTACCTAGAATACTGCAGAGAAATGTCTCCTCCACAAATCCAACACGGATTTTTCTTCAAGCAATATCATTTATTGTTATTAGATCTTTTAAAGACTGAATCTGATTTTAAAACAGCTGTTTTTCATGTTTTAAGTACCAAAACTCTCTTGCAAAGCATTCGCAAAAGCTGGTCGAGCAAATACATGAGCCAGAGTGAGACGTGATCTTCGTTTTAGTCCAACGTACTGAGAAAATCACCCTATTAGAAGCAATAATTACATAATAACAAGACTCATCAAAGATATACAACATCGGATTGACGGTACATTGCGTAACAAACAGTTCGAAAAGCTATTAATATCCTATCATCTCTGTTTAATTTCACAGCAGTTTTTACGTTGACAAGTGATGGGAAACTCATGAGAGCGGAGGTGCAACACAACGAAGAAAATCATAGGAAGCGCTTAATCCAGTCAGAGCACTTGCAAACCGCACCCGGCGATGGAGCATGGAAAGTCAAATCCTTCACCTGGGAAAGACGAACCCGAGGGTAGTATCTAGGGGTGATTAAATACATATGCCATGGGGGCGTGCCGCGTCAAGACTATAATAATCTTGGGTACCTTGCCCTCGGAGGCGAGCCGCCTTGGCACATAACCCTACCATCGGCCTCCGAGATATGAGTCTGCCACGTGAGCAATACTAAAAATGGTCAATAACCCCGAAACAAAGGTGGCAAACAGCCGTATGTCAAATGAGATGCAAGTCGGAGTAGTCAACGTAATAATACTCTGTCTTACAAAGCTACACATAGCAATAAACAGCATAAAACTAATGAGAAATAGGAAATGTGAAAAAAAATAATGGAGATGGGAGGAAGTAAATGTTGGTCTTAAATATCCTAGTCTGCCGCAAGCCGTCGCCATATTTCCTTGCGTATCCTTCTCTGCAGGGCTCCATCGTCTTTAGAGCCTCTTCACCCTTTAGTTGTCTAAACAATGCGTTGTGCTGTACTGTCACTTCACAAGCAAAGTTGTAGAAAATAGCAACGAATGTGTGTGATTTGCTATAGAGAACACGCTTTGCAAAAGCCGAGGAAACTTCAGAACAGAATGCTCATTTACACTGAAGGAAGAGTGAACTTATCTTAAGAAACTTTGTGTGAGATTTCGACACTTGTGAACGATGACCGCAATACACCAACTCAACCTAACTAAAACATCTAGTAAAAAAAAGGAAATTCTGTTTACTGCACTTCTATTTCTCAGGCAATAATGTGGCAAAAAACAAAATAGAAGCTTCATGTTCTGAAATATGATCTTTCAACAGTCAGTAACAGGTCAGAACCGCCAGACACGGCCAGGGATGTTACGATAATAAGAGTTTTACTGCTAAACTACATGCTTGAAGAATTCGTAACGTTTTTAAGAGGGATGTCATCACTGATGGCATCGTGCGCGGGGCAGAGTGTTTAAGTAGGAAAATAACTATTGCCGTCAGTTACAAAAGTGGTCTTATTTTTGAAAGGAAGAAAGATAAAATAATATGTCAATAAAGCGTTCCCACTTATCGTTCGTGGTGATGCTCAGTTCCAATTATTATGGAATGCTGAAAAAGTGGACATAATGGGTGATCACGACGTGGTTTCGGACAAACAGTATCAATGTTTCACTCACAAAATGCAACAGTATTTTATAATCTACATTGCACATGCAGCGCCATAATCTAGTAGATGAGATTTGATGTGAAATATGTGTGATTATGTAAAGGAGCATTTTGTCAGACAAAGAACTGTCCTTATAGTCAGACTAAACTTGAAGTAGTACTTGACGATTCACGCACCCAGGATACCATTAAATATTCGAAGACACAGAATTTGAGACTTTCGGTGTGTACTTGAAGAATCTGTGGATGTTGTGACATTTTCTAGCTGATTATATTTTCTTATTTCTCAGAAACATTGTCAATGAATCTACTCCATAAGATCTTTGAAGCATCAAATGCTGGGGTCACAGTATGATAAATGGTTCGACAGGAGTGTTCTCTGAAATGAAATTTTTCCTATGTTCAATAGTTTTATTTAGACTTTTGCAGTAAATTCTTGAAATAAGTCCGATGGCTATATAGCACGAAACTGCGATATTTGAAGCTTTTTTCGTTTTGTGATCATCTGCACAATTTGAAATTAGAAGTTGTGAAGTAAACGCATCCAAACTAACAATCAAAAATAAATTTTACTGTTAGTTTAGATATCAATGGCTCGCATTATAATGGTGAATGAACTTTAGTATTCCAATGCGGGTGATACCTTTCGCCATCAGTGCGGATGATTAAGTTCATCTGCAAATTTAAGCCAAAGATATTCCTTAGATTCTCTGTACCCTCTGTGCAAGTCACTTTAGACAAAAAGTTTCTCTATTCGACATGTATTTCATAGACCTTGCTCAAACAATTGTGATCTGATAAGAATGAAACATGTTTTGATTCACTGAGGTCCAAGTGCTATACATGCGTCTGTTTCATCCTATCGCGACTCATCATTGTATCGCCTTCGGTCTGGCCGATCCCTTTCAATTCTTCCGATCCAAACCACGAGCTCGACTGCTAGTCACTAAATGTCAGGCAAATCCATCACCTGATTTGAGGTAATCTATTGCTCGGTGTCGATCCCTCCATGGAGGAGTGTAGCCTCAAGGCATCGGCTGAACCGAGGACGGCGCTACTGATAAATCTTGGTAGGATAAAAAGGCGCCTGTTTATCACTTAGACCTTAAATGTTCATAACATGTTATTCCTTGGAAATAAGTTTCATGTAAATTCGGTTTTTGATGAACAACACTTCAATGGATGTCTCATGATAAAGTCCCAAACGCATATAACAATATTTGACCGACAACACAAAGTATATTATTACAGAGCGCGAGACAATTACAATATGACGCCTGATTTCTATCGCGTGATAGAGGAGGAAAAGCATTGAACATAGTGAATTGTGCGAAATATATAAAAAAAGGACGTGTCGCGTGATTAAGGCATAATAACAAATAAAAAGCTTATTAACGTCCAATTTTTTGAGGAAAGCTATGCAACCTAGTACACATTGAACAAACGCTACCATAGTCTACTAAATGAAATTTGATATGGATTAATCCAATATTAACAACTGTGTAAAAAGGCTAAAGAGGAAAATAAGATAGAAAACTGCTTCTGTAATTGCATCGAAATTGGCATAGCACTTGAAAAATCACCCCCAACCAGGATATTATTAGAATTTCAAAAGCACAAAATTTGGGACTGTTATCGAGCACTTCAAGCACATGTAGATGTTCCCGTGATCACTAGAATTGTTAGTTTTGCATTCATGAAATGTTGCCTGGTATATGTTCGCTGAAAAATCCTTGAAGCTTCAAAT